AAACTATAACTGACATGTTACTGGTGTCTTATTTTTTAAGCCCATAACCATGTGTGTGAGGTGTATACTTGTGTTCCACAGTAGATTTGTTTAAGACTACCAAGAAACACTCTGTGTGCCCCTGATTTAGCCCAATGCAGTAAAAGGGGTAAAATGATCTGTTCAAGTCAGCATTAAAAGAGGCCCATCTTTACAATGACCCTTTCAAAGAGGAGGGTGTGATTGACTGAGACATACACCTTACATTCCATCCTCGGACGCACCCCGGATATCTCAGGATGCCCCAAACAACTGTTTTCAAGCAGTTGTTTGGGGGTACCCTTATGTACATATAGTGACCTGTTGTGCAAGGGCCCAGACAGAGATATTTAATTAATTAAAGGTAAAGTACATTTTCTGTTGAAAACCCTTTTTATTTTCTTGAAAAATTTTACTATCGAAATGCCTACATATTACAATTATTAAAAAGTGTACTATGCAATATTAAAACTATCACACTGTTTTTTTACTAAACCTTTATATAAATCATACATGTTATTAAACAATACTACACTTTAATACCCAATAAAATGTTTATATGTATAATTATTATTTTTGTTGGAAAGACTGTTTTTTAAATGTATTCTTAGAAAATACGTTTTTCTCTCTCTCTCTCTCTCTCTGCATGTAACCTGACACCAGGCCTCACACACACACACACACACACACACACACACACACACACAACACACACACAACACACACACACACAACACACAACACACACACACACACACACAAACACACACACACACTCACACACACACAAACACACACACATAGGGAGAGACAGAGGGAGAGCTGTCATTTATTGAAGGTAAATACAATTTTCATTTTAAATCTTTTTTTTTTTTTTAACTTTATATAAATCATAAATATTATTATTAAACAATACTACACAATACATGTTTATATGTATAATAGTTTTGTTGTTGTAGGAAAGACTGTTTTTTAAATTTATTCTTAGAAAATAAGGTTTTGCTCAGGGTTCTCTCTCTCTCGCTCTCTCTGCTTGTAACTGACACCAGGCCTCTCACACACACACAAACACACACACACACACACACACATACACACACACACACACACACACACACACACAACACACACACACACACACACACACACACACACACACAGAGGGAGAGACAGAGGGAGAGCTGTCATTCAATGAAGGTAAACCCCTTATTTTTCTTCTTTATATAAATCATACATATTATTATATAACAATACTACACATTACTACACAATACATGTTTATATGTATAATTTTTAAAAAATCCTTTCTTAGAGAAAAAGAAGAATCAGCATTTTCATCCTTTTCTGGGTTCTATTGTAACCCGAAACCCCCATCAGTCTCCAAATCACCGTCTTCAAGTTGTGAGAGCCCCAGACGTGGACTCTACCATGCTGGATCTCCATGGCCTTCCAGATTTAGTACGTTTTATTTTCCAGGATAGATCAGCCTTCTTGACGTTGAAACCCAAGTTTTGTCTTGAGGACAGAATGGACCATCGTATTAAATGTTCACGATGGTGATTTTTTTTTTTCACTTGTTTCATCATATCAAGCACTTTAAAATAATGTTTCCAGCTGAAGCTACAGACAGGCACAAAGTAGTTTACCTCTGTGCATGCTTTTGAAAATACATACGAACTAACCGATTTGGTGGCATTTGCGCTATTGAATTCAGAACAACCTAAAATTGTCACTTTGGAGTCTGGACTATATCCCACTGAAGAGATTTGTATGGCTTTCAAATTATCTCGCCCGCAGACTTCCTCTTCCAATGTGTACCCAGGCGAGGATGTTCCACTCAGGGCCTGTTCGATCTGACATAGAGCAAGTCTTATCTTAAGCCATTCTCTCATGCAAAACACATTTTATGGCTGAAAAAGGTTGTTGAGGCAGCTGTGTGTGAAAATGTTCACTGTTGAATCGTCCAATATGGCCTTCACTCATATCAATCACAACATTAAAACAATCAGGTGCATCAGTTAGGTGCAACTGTAGCTCAGTTGGTAGAGCATGGCGCTTGCAACGCCAGGGTTGTGGGTTCGATTCCCACGGGGGGCCAGTATGAAAAAATGTATGGAAAAAAAATATTATGCACTCACTAACTGTAAGTCGCTCTGGATAAGAGCGTCTGCTAAATGACTAAAATGTAAAATCACAAAGAAGGGCCTCAATGGTTTTGTCATTATGTCCCAGACATGAAGGACACAATACACCTAGAATTGGTCTAGGAGACATGTTTTCTATAGAGTTTTATGTGGTTTATCTGGGCTAGACTTGTCATAGGACAATACTACACTTTACTTGTCACAGGACAAGTCTAACACTTACTTATACTCAGGCAGACCTCCCCAGGAAATTACTTTTTCATTCTACAAGGGGTCACAAGCTCACTACACAGCAGCTCCATAAGTTCACAAAAAAAAATTCAAACTGTTTCAACTGTTCAAACACTTCAAACTCAGGCCTCCCCATTCACTACAAAAATGCCCAACTCTTTCAAATGTTCAAGCACATTTTTATTTAAGTTTAACAAGGTCACTACACCACACATCAATCACCAGGACGTTACATTTGATTTCAAACAGGTGCTTTACTTCAAAGGAACAGCTGCACTATCAAGTTACATAAGCACTCACTGGATAGTGTGAGAACATCTGGACAGGATGTCATTAACAGGGTCAAACACAGGACACAGCAAAGCCCATCAATCACTTTTTGACAGCAACCGTCTACTATATTCTCTCTGAGATGTGAGAGAGAGAGGAACAGAGAGAGGAGAGATAATACACTTTGAAGACAAGCTCAATCAAGTGTTACTGATGAGAAATTGAGTTACGTTAGTAGTGAATGCAGATTAGTAAATTACAAACAAAATAATAAAAAAGAGTAACTCTTATCTGACTGACAAGAAGCTATGAGAGAGATAATCCGACAGGCAATCTGTAGTCATGAACCTAACCATGCAAATTAACCTACAATAATGAGACATGCACTGGGCAGACTTTAACACAAACATTGTGCTTGGATCCAATGGCAATTATGGCCGGGTCCCAATTGCATTTACACGCATCGGGTTACCCTCCAGTGACCCTTTACTGGCTGTGAGGTATTCGCTAGGAATAATAAACATGTCACAATGTTCCTCCTGTCAATTCACTACAACTAAAACACAAATACACTGTATAAATCAAAAGTGAATTACCCCCCTGGTTATATTCTGCTGAGCGTGCATGCTGGCTATGAGTTTCAGATGTTGACGGCTATCAGTTTCAGCCTCCCCTCCTCATCAGGCCAGATGCATTCTTTGAGCATGAGGACACACTTGGCAACAGATGACTCCAAGAAGGGGATGAGACGTGTGTGATTCAAACACTGAGGTGTGAATGATGCCCACGATCTCCACATTGTTCAGACACGTAGGATAGAAAGGATAGCGACATGAACACACGCGGACACACACCCACACACACACACACACAGACACACACTGTAACCCTCTCTCAGGTAGTTATTGTTGAGTCCGACCCTGAGACACAGCAATTTGAACACTTGTAACTGGATCAGGATTAGGCGGCCTGCACTATATTTGGTGGGGTCTTTAGTTTACACACATTTCTACTGGGGACTATGAGAGGAGCTAATTTTAGATCCCGCAGTGATGCACTTTCTCAGGCTGTGCCTCCACTACTAAGTGCAGGGCTCTAGTCCAAACACTGCCCCCTTACCCAGCCCAACATTACCCCCTAACCCAGCCCAGCACAACACTGCCACCCCAACCCAGGCCAACACTGCCACCCCAACCCAGGCCAACACTGCCCACCTAGTCTAGCCCACCACTACCCGCTAACTACCAACCCCCCTAACTATCCCTACTATAACACTCTCCATCTGACCCAGCCCCGTCAGGACAACGCTGCCCCTTTAAAAAAGTCTAACACTGTCCCACTAACCCAGAACTACATTGTTATTTTAACCCAGTCCAATCCTTCCCCTCTAACCCAGGACAAAACTGCCCCTTTAATCCCAGCCAACACTGTCCCTTTAACTCAGGAGAACACCACCCCTTTAACCCAGTCCAAACACCTTTCAAAACAGGACAGTCAAAGCTTTGCGGTTTTGAATGCGACTCCTTCCAGCCCCTGCAGGCAGAGGTCAGTACCCTACTGTAAATCTGAAAGAGATCAAAGCGATTGGAAAGAGCTCTGAAATACAATTAAACATCAAGTGGAGACCATTTGGGTTAGTGACAGTGCTTGACTTGGACTGAAATAGGTGTCGGTACTCATGTTGGGTGCCGGTACTGTTTATATTTAGGTGCAAGAGCTCCACAATACTTTTGAGCTAATATTCTATAAGAGGAACAGGATCTCAAGCAGTAGAACATTTTAGGTGCCAGTACTGAGCTCCTGCTCAAGTCAAGCACTGGTTAGTGATGTTGAGGCCTTAAAGATGTTGAATACCCAAGTTGGCTATCTATTTAGTAATTATGCACACTTCAAATAAGCTGGAGCTATTTAAATGGATGGTATTTATAGTTTAGAGCAGCCTAATATTAATGGCATAGAGGATTAGGATGACATCAAATGTATGGTTGTCAATGTAGACCACCATTGTTCATCAGGGTACAAAACTACTTTTATATCCAGCAACTATTATGTACCCTAATATCCAAGTGAAATGATTATAGTCAAGAATTCATGAACAGTTACAATTACATTAAATTGATCTAATGAAGGCAGTGTCACTACCGGGGCAAATGCTTGATTGAATGACTCATCGACAGTGGGACTTTTCTTAGGGACTTGCCACCACGCACTTGTTGCAGCAATAGTCCCGCGAGAGGGGTGCTGTGGTACATTGATGGATGACCCTGCTGCTCCCAGTCCCAGCTGTCAGTTGCGCTCGCGCACCGATTCTGACTTTCGCACTCTGTCCCCGGTACCATGGCGTCCACGGAGGAGGACGGCTCCGCTGAGGAGAAGGAAACCAACAACAAGAAGAGAACGAAAAGTGCGATCGCTGTCGCATGGCTTACATTTTACAACATCGCCATGACGGCCGGGTATGTGGATTATTGTGCCCTATAGTTGATTATAAAGTAGCCACTCCCTGAAAACTTCGCTATGCACCAGAGCGCTGTGAGCAAGCGTGTGTTGCTGTTTATAGGTCCGTGGTGTCTCTGCCAGTGCAAGTGTCCCATTCTGTTGCAGTGAGCAAAATAAAAGTAAGGGACTTGATATGAAAAGGGTCCAAGAAGTCATATTGATTATTTGAGAATTGTCTATCTTTTTGTGAAAATAACGGCAGTGGAAGTGCGGCCCCCGTCGCGGGTTCAGCCTGCCCAAATACGGTAGATTACACGGTGTCAGCGTCATACCCAGCACTACCTCGACAGTTGCAGTGATAAGTATAGACGGCGCGCTGACACTGGAGCTCCGATCTCGGAGAATGAAATGCCCAATTGGCAGATTTTTATAACTGCAATTTTATGCGCTTCAAACCGCGCGGGACTGTGCAATTATTTTACTCAAGTGTTCTCATAGTTATTTTAGTGAAGTCACTAAACGAACTTACTTTACTGGTTGCCACGTTTTCAATAAGTTATTAAGCTGTTGATTGTGTCTTACATTCATTTGCATTGGTTTGAGCCACTTTAACGAGGAATGGGCCTTTTTGGAGATATGCATAAAATGCGCATTTATGGATGTCTTGGATCCATGTGATCTCCACTTCCACTCATTGTAGTTTATTGTCTGCTCTACACATAATGGTTATTCTGGTATTACATGAAGGTGTGAAAACTAGGTTCAGTTGTCTAGTCTTTTGTTCACAAAGACCAATAAGTGGTTGGTTATAAGCCCCTGTACCTGATCTCCCTCATACAGAATAAACAGATACCACACTTTTGATTCAAACATTCAAAGAGCTGTTAAAATATTGACTATTGCATTCAAACTGTTCTTTTGTTGTCCCTTCTCTCCATATGATAGCACAAACCTTCACCCATATTTTTCAATAATCCTTATATGATAGTAACTGTTAGTAACTGAACAGTTTTGCAAGTCCTAAACCCAGTTAATGTAATTAGCATCAAATAAACTCTAATTAATTACTGTGCTGAGACTGAGAGATAATACATTTACAATAAAATAGGAATATACTCCAAAGTAATGCACCTCAGCCCTGGTAAACCAGTGTTTTTTTAAAAACAGATCGTGGTTTGAAACAGATCATGTTGAGTTGTTCATGTAATCAAATAAGAGTTAGGCAAACCTTTGCAATATAGGTAAACACTTGTCCACATCTTGAGCACCTGACCGACCAACCACCTGATGTCAAGCAGTGAACAGTAGCCACTAGGCTACAAGAGTATATACAACAGTACCAGGTCAACCTGGTTTAACAGTACCATTCCTTTACAACAGACAGTAGCAGTAGTGTATCTCTCACTAATCCTGACAAGGTTTGAGTTAACTTCAAGGTACACTCTAAAACGTCACATAAACTGAGATTTACAAGGAACCTATCTCATGGGCACTTGACACCTCAGCGGATTTAGATGATGTCGTTGTAATGTCCAGGGACTAATCCTGCCATGAGCCCATTTAACCATGAATACTGAATCAAGGGACCAAGTGTGATCTAAATGGGGATTTTAAAATGTGAATGTAAAATAATAGTTACCTCAATTTAGTGGAATAGGGAATAAGGTTGAGGAAACTATGCAACTTTGGCCTGCCTCATTACTAATACTGTAAGTGTTTGTGATACTATGACAAACATATTTGTAAAGTTACACATTTTAGAGGAAAAGAGAACAACTGTATGCCGACACCTTCACAGAGATCCGTAACACTGCTGACCTAGTAGACTGGTGAATGTAAAGACAACACAGACCATTTCCCCAGGTCATGCATAGTTTTAAAAGCAAATGGTGCAAACCAGGGGCAGTATTTGTCAAGTGTCTCAGAGTAGAGGAGTGCCAATTTAGGATCAGTTTAGCCTTTTAGATCACAATGAATAAGATTACATGGACAGGGAGGACCTGATCCTAGATCAGCACTCCTACTCTGAGACTCTTGATACATATGGCTCCTGGTCTTCTGTTTACTGTAAATTCTGTACAAAAACTCTCACACCTCTCTGTTATTTAACCTGATCTTTAGAGAATTAGCTTTAAATGGTCCTCAAAACGGCTCTGCAATTAAATAGTAAAACATGTAGTATTGATTTTTATTAAAACATATACTGTAAAGGTCACAAGGCCCTGTTAGGCATATTACTGTGAGCAAAAACGTACACATTTTTGTTGTATCCTGTGTGTAATGGACCAATAAAGATCGTATTGTATTAGTATAGTGCTCTACAAATGCTGTCTGCACCGGATCGTTCAGTGATTTGCTAGATTTTTTATTAATCTTCAGTTCCTTCTGAATGTAGTTTTGGCAGTAGCAGGGTTGCTGCTAGTTCAGAGAGATGACAAGCTGAACAGCTTTTCTCAGCATTCTGTGTTTACATTCTGTCTGGCGTATGGCTGTGACTGATGTATAGCCAGATTAGTGTGTACAGTACCAGGCTAGAGACAATGAGCTCCTCTGTAGAAAGGACTTGGTGCTCACTGTTTCACCAACTGAGGCTGAGTGTGCATCCCAAATGGCACCATATTCCCTACATAGTGCACTACTTTTGACTAGAGCCCTTGTTAAATGTAGTGCACTATGTAGGGAACAGGGTGCCATTTGGGACTCATCTTGGGTGATGAGGAGGCATACAAGTTTAGTTGGTGTCCATTCTGCTTCTTGCTTATGATAAAAATAAATATAGATCAACACACACAACCCTTACAGAAAATCCACATTCATTTCACGTGATAACATGTGATCACGTGATCTTATGTGACGTTAACATGATAATGTGACATGTCAAAGTAACATGTGATTCAATGAAACTACAAATTTGAGCACGTGAAAACATGATATCATGTTAAATAAATGTGACAACATGGGGATGTAAAATGTCAACAGTTTTTCACGTAATAATGCAATTCCACATGTGAGAGATTTTCACATGAAAGTTTTTTACATGTGAAAAAAAATACCACATGTGAGAGTTACATTTACTTTACCTTCTATAACGTTATTTGAATGTTTGGTTTGTTAAATGTGATACAGCGTGTAACGTCCGCTTTCCAGACAGACCTAGCCCCGCCCCCTGTCACTCAAGGAGCGCATTTATTGTTCTTCTGACAGAGACGCTTGCGTTCGGTCTCTGCGTGGTCAATGCACACAATGTTGATGACAACGATGCTGTTTGCACATTGCTACTTAATATAAATCCACTAGCGTTCTATAATTACACTATGAGTTTGTGTTTCTTACATCTGCAAACAGCTAGTTTGTCTTTTCTTAGTAAATTGGGCCTAAGTCTTGTTAGCCGCTAATCGCTAGCTAGCTAATAAATGTACTGAGTCAGAGCAAACGAAACTAGATATACAGCCTGATAATACCAGCGATGGTGTAGAACTAAATCTGCATGTTTTTTTTGTGCAACAGAATGTTCTAAATCAAAGAGGAATACGCGAAGAAAGAATATGTTAGCTACATGTAGCTAAGAGAAAACATTCAATGTACCCAAAGATTATAGGGTCCCCTAGGAAACACTTGTCAACACTTAGGTTCCTACCCTGTCACAATAACTCCTCCCTGGCATTTTCATTTGTTGTCATGTCAAACACTGTATTCAAAGTGCCCACTATTATATTCTAACTATAGAATTTGAATAGTCATTCTATTTCCATGATTCCAACAGTTCACCCAAGTGTTTTGCTTTAAAACACAAGTCAAATCGCAATTGCAACATTTGGTTAAAAATAAGGTCTAGATTGTTTACCCATATCATGCAGCCCTACGTGACAGTGTGGAAATGATCTCAGATGAGTGCAGGAAATGCAGAAATTGATGAAAATGCTGAAAATAATTTTTGGTTGAAGTTGAATTGAACAGTATAAAACAATCAGAATGGAGAAAGACCCATTGAAATCACTTATAATGTATGTGTTGCCACCCTATGGTCACGCACTACTCATGAAGCAAATGTTGAACTTTTATTATTCAAAAACATAAAATACCGTCAAATACCATCATACCGTCTAATTAAAATACCATGATATGATATTTTGGCCATATCGCCCTACATGTGAATCTGCAATTCACATGTGAGGTGAAAACATGTTATTCTCCTCACATGTGAAAAGGTGGTGTTAAAATGTGAACTCTAAATATAATACCTGTTAACATATTTAATGAAAATGTCACGTTTTTTTGTAAGGGAATTAAATGATATGGGGGTTTTAAAGTAAGTGGTACGCTGTTCAGCTAAAATAATGTAAACATCTTTAATCAATATGATTACATTTGACATGATCACTTAGCACTGACTTTTCAATATGACCCCACCTGGGATTTGAACTCACAACCTCTGGATTTGGGGTACTCTGATCTTTCTGTTGCACCGCAGTCTGTAGCATTCCTCTACACATTCATTACATCTCTGCACTTAGCAAAAGAGTGCCATCTGCACTGCTATTTCACTGACTATTCTCTCATCATGATTTCATTTACTTATTTCAGCAATTTGAGGGGTTTTCTGTATAGTTGGTGGGGCATATTATTCTGTTTTAATGTTACTCCTAAATCACTATGATAAATATAATAGTTTTTCTTGAGTGTATTTTGAGATTTCCTTTACTTAAGTCCAAAGTGTAGGAATAATTCTGTGAACCAAGAGGTTGTGAGTTGTTGAATAATAATTACTGTATAAATAAACACACAATTTAATCATGTATGTCAAAGTGTGTCAAATATATAAGTTGATAACACTGTATGTTAAAAGCACTGTGTGTGTGCATCCTAACAACTCATTTTTGTTTGCAGGGCATCACCTGTGAAATCTCATGTGAAAAATATTCACATGTGAAAAATGTGATGCATGTGAAAGGCTATGTGATCACGTGAAAATCCACGCGACACTTTATGTGAAATATCATCACATGTGAAGTGTTCCAAAAACAAATGATTTCACATGTGAAATAATTCGATTTTCCACATCATGTGGTTTTTCTGTAAAAGAAGTAGGCTAAGTCGAAAAGACGAGACTGAAAAAGCTAAAGTAGAACTCTGGAAACAGTGATTGAACTGAGTACTTTTATACTGTAACTCTAAAGTGGTATCTATGTCCTTCTCATGCACACTTACTTCTCTAATGCAAAATACAGTTATTCACATGTTGTAAATATTGTATCTTATTTTCCAGATGGCTGGTCTTGGCTATGGCAATGATGCGCTTTTATATCCAGAAAGGCACACACAAGGGTCTGTACAAAAGTATAGCAAGGACACTCAAGTTTTTCCAGACAGTTGCGTTAGTTGAGGTGAGTTTCTGGAATATTGGCATAGTTCTCTATACAGCCGTATTCAAACACAGACATGCTCAATGTATTCAACCTAGACAGTTGGGAAAATAGGCAAATGTTGAAATTACTGTTGACATTTCTGGTAAGGTCCCTCTGTGTGCTTTAAATACTTTGATGCTGAGAGCTTTGATGCAGAGAAGAAGTGAGGAGAGGTGATTCACTGATTCTGATTTGTTATCTTGTCATTCAGGTGGGGCACTGTGCAATCGGTATGTATTGTCTTGAATAACCACCATATAATGTGAATATAAGCATATCTCCTAGCTCTGACAGCAATGTTGATTTCCCCGGTTCTCACCCTTTAGGAATCGTGAGGACCTCTGTAATTGTGACCGGGGTTCAAGTGTGTTCACGAATCTTCATGGTGTGGTTCATCACCAACAGCATCAAACAGGTGACTATCACATTTATCACCAAAGAGGTGTCTTCTAACCCTGGTTACCATCTACAGTAAGAGGCCTTGGAGTGGGTGAGGTTAAGTTGCCCCTAGACACTGATCTTGGATCAGTTTAGCATTGTCCCCACTAATGGTTCAGTTTAGGATTGGGGGATGGGAAGCTGATCCTAGATCTGTACGTAGGGGAAACTTCACCCCGGAGTCCAACTGCAGTAATGTCCTACTGTACAACATGGACCCTCTTAACTTTTAACTATCTTCTCCTCCCTCGTTTTGTCCCTTTCCTTGTTGGAAGATCCAGAACGAAGAAAGTGTAATCCTCTTCCTGGTCGTTTGGACGTTGACAGAGATCACCAGATATTCATTCTATACATTCAATCTGCTCAACCTCCTGCCATACTTCATCAAATGGGCCAGGTGGCGATGGGGATGGGAGGGCTGGGTTTGGGTAGCTCTGTTCCAGTGCGTTTCATGCGGCTTGTTGATGCAGAGCCTTCTCAGCATCAGAAAGCTGCACGTAAACGCCCTGGACAAGAGCTAGGGTTTGCGGTGCTGTTACGGTTCTTTGCGTGTTGGTCTGGTTTGATTGGCGTTTCCCCTGGCATGCTTCCCAGTAGTAGCCTACAGCAATGCATAAGGTATCTCCTGGCTCATAGCCAGACAGCATGTGATCAGCATGAGTGTGTTGTGTTTGTTGATTAGCACGTTCAATATGGATGTTGGCTGACCTAACTGCTAACACTAAGTACTCTGGCATTATCACTTTGATTTATGGGCTAGGACAGTTGTGGGTAACCAATTTATTACATGGTAGGTGATCAGGCATTGATAAGCATACAGATCAGAGATTGGAGAAAAGGTGGTGACACCATCTGTGCAGGGATTGGGATTTATTCAAGCATCTCAGAGTACGAGTGATGATTAAAGACCTTTTAGATAACAATGAATAAGAATACACGGACAGGGGACCTGATCCTAGATCAGCACTCCTACTCTGAGATAATAAGGTTTCTCCTCATATTCAGCTCTGAGTCAAGCTATTATTGTCTTTCCAGATGTGGATGACGTAAGGATGTTGTCATCTTTTCTCTCATACTTTCAACATTCCTTCACGCCTCTTTGATGCAGACTCACAGCTTGTGTGGACCGTAGCACCACTGGTTTTGAGTCTTTCATACACTGCACCAGACCTGGGTTCAAATACTATTTGAAATAATTTCAAATACTTTATCTGTGCTTGATTAAGCTTCCCTGACTTCCAATGGAATAGTCCCAAAACTGCAAACCCCGCCCATCTGGCACTCGAAGCAAGCTCAAGCAAACGCTACAAGTATTTGAACGATTTCAAATAGTATTTGAACCCAGGTCACAATCTCAGACATACACAACTATTGTAACACATGGCATTAGCTGATGTTGACAGGAGGTTAGGTATCAGTGTTACCTCCCAGTCCAACAGCTAAGCAGTACTGTAGTAAAAATACCTATTTCTTATGTGTATTTTATTATACACAACACTCATCATTATACAAAACGCTCTATTTACCACCGCTGTCAGCAGACCGTTGACATAACGTGGGACTATCAGAAAGTCTAACTGTCAGCCTCGCATATGAAGGCCCTCAGATGAAATGTGAGCACTGGTGAAGAACGTCTACTACACACATGGGGAGCAATCTGACCGACCTAGATTCCTGGGATCCTATGGCTAAGAGCTTGCTGCTTTCCGTTCAATATCTGAATGTCTAGAAATTAGATTAGGGACCGACCCCATTTTTTGCATTGCTGTGCGGTAGCTATGAGGTGACAGTGAGTGACAATGAGACACTTTTTTCAGTGACTTCAGCAAGTCAGATCTTGTAACCACAGATCCTGTAACCACAGTACTGTACGTTCAATATGTCTGTTTACATGTACGACAGGTCTCTTGGGTTTGCGGGTTTGCTTCACTGGTCTTGATCAGTCAGTGTAACCCCCGTTCTCCTCCACTCTCGTCCTCCCCCATTCCCCGTCCCCCTCTGAGTGTTCTCAAGGGTTCCTTTAAGCAGGGAGGGGAGGGGCGCAGCCAGGCCCTCAGAGGGAGGGAAGAGGGGCTCATGTTCAGCTGCTCTTGTTTTTAAGACCATCTGTTTCGGGCATGGAATGCTGGCCCAACATTTCTCTCACATCCGCCGAGACACTCCCCCGAGCCGCAACCACGTTCTTGAGAAAATACGGGATTCTTATGCACCGCCATCATTATATATATAGATCCCGCTCCTTTGATAACCGACTTGTTTTCATCCCCCATACATTTTTGTGCACTTTTGAAATGGAATACAGTAGTGTAATCCTTCCTTTCTGGGTTGTTTATTAACCAATATTAAACACTGTGGCACGGTTTCCTGGACACGGATTAAGCCTAGTCCTGGACTGAAAACCAAGCTCAATGGGGAATCTCCATCGAAAGTGCTTTTTAGTCCGGGGCTAGGCATAACCTGTGTCCGGGAAACGGCCCCTGTACGTTTTGAATAATGATGTGCAGAAATCCAATAATGTTAAAACATTTTGAAAATCGTTAATGGAGCTGATCCTTTGGGGGCATTCAGACCTGTTGGTGCTCAAACAGCTAAATCATTTTTTAAGTGCCAATTGTATTTTTGAAAAATGCAAATCTGGTTTTTGTACCCACCACAGCACAGAGACAGCCTTAGTTAAAGTGGTAAATGATCTTAGAGCCAACACAGATGCCAAACAGCTCTCTGTCCTTGTACTCTTAGATTTAACTGCTGCATTCAACAGACTGGAGAGGTGGGTTTGGCCTCTCCGGTCCAGTTCTAAATTTGTTTAGGACCTATTTAACCGGTCGAGAGTTTTTTGTCACCCTTGGTGAACATAACTCAGAGAAAATACATATCACATGTGACATTCCACAAGGTTCGATTTTGGGTCCGGTACTGTTTAGTTTATATATGTTAACCCTTAGCAGCGTTATCAGAAAGCACAGCATTGATTTTCACTGCTATGCAGACGATACACAACTTTACTTTTCTATGTCACCAGAGGATTTTAGCTCACAACTTCCTCTGGCTAAATCAAGACAAGACCGAGGTACTTATTGTTGGAGCCAAAGCACAGAGAGAATCTAGCTGCACATTTTAATTCACTGGCAATAAAGATAAAACACCAGGTAAAAAACCTGTGTTATTTTAGATTCTTAACTCAACTTCGAATCACACATTAGGAATGTGACCAAAATAGCTTTTTACCACCTGAGGAACATTGCAAAGGTGCGTCCGTTTCTCTCTCAGGTTGATACAGCGAGACTCATCCATGCTTTTATTACAAGCAGGCTTGACTACTGTAATGCTCTCCTATCTGGTCTACCCAAGAAAGCCACTGGCCAACTGCAAAACATACTGAATGCTGCAGCACGGGTACTGACCAAGACCAGACGGAGAGCACACATTACACCGGTTTTAACGTCTCTGCACTGGCTGCCTGTGAGATTTAGAATTCATTTTAAGATTATTCTATTGGTTTTTAAATCAATCCACGATTGTGCACCCCAATACATGTCAGATGCTTTTAAGTTATGTACTCAGTAGGTCCCTCAGGTCCTCTGGCACTGGCCTGTTAACTATCCCTGTGGTCCTCTGTAGCTCAGCTGGTAGAGCACGGCGCTTGTAACGCCAAGGTAGTGGGTTCGATCCCCGGGACCACCCATACACAAAAATGTATGCACGCATGACTGTAAGTCGCTTTGGATAAAAGCGTCTGCTAAATGGCATATTATTATTATTATTATTATTATCCCAAAACCTAGGAACAAGAGGCATGGAGAGGCAGTCTTTAGTTATTATGCCCCCAGCCTCTGGAATAGCCTGCCAGAGAAACTGAGGGGGGGGCGAAACTGTGGACATATTTAAAAGAAATCTTAAAACACATATTTTTAGCTTTGCTTTTCCTCAGGGGGCTTTTTAGTTGTTCAGTTTGTGTAATTCTTTTGTTTTTTATGTTATGTTTGTTGGGTAGTAAATATTTCAGCTTTTTTTCCTCTAAAGCACATTGCGTTGCGTTCCATGTCTGAAATGTGCTGTATAAATAAAGCTTCATTTGATTTGATTTGTTATATTGTGCGTTACAAATGCCATTATATTCCCTAGAGCAGTGGTTCCCAACCAGGGGTACTAGGACCCCTGGGGGTACTTGGCCTATCCACAGGGGGTACTTGAGCAGACTCATGAGACCATAGGCCTAATGGTGAAATGCACATGAAGGGGTACTTCAGGGGTACTCCGGGCAGAGCAAAATGAAGTTGGCAGTACAATAACTGAAAAAGGTTGGGAACCACTGGCCTAGAGCCCTAAATGGGCACTGGTCCAAAGTAGTGCACTATATAGGGAATAGGGTGCCATTTGGGACACTGCCGCAGTTGACGTTGCATAAAGCTAAGGTTAAGAATAGCCTACTGTAAGTGAGACAGCATCATGCCTAATGTTGTTCTGGTGTCAGTGTAACAGTATTGCTTCCGTCCCTCTCCTTGCCCCAACCTGGGCTTGAACCAGGGAACCTCTAAACACATCAACAACTGCCTCCCACGAAGCATCGTTACCTATCGCTCCACAAAAGCCACAGCCTTTGCAGAGAAAGGGAAACAACTACTTCAAGGTCTCAAAGCGAGTGACGTCACCGATTGAAACGCTGGTACCGCGCACCGCTAACTAGCTAGCCATTTCACACTGGTTACGTCAGTGTGTTAAGATACTAAAAACATGTCAGCCATCACTATAGTAATCAAGCATTTAGTGGCCTAATTCACTGGCAAATGCTACAAGACACTCTTTCAAGATGGCATACATTTTTCCCCTTCATTCTGCAGTGTACGCATTCCAACGTAGTGTGAAGTAGTTTTTTTATCGTTCTTTGCTGTACGGCTGAAGTGTGTGTATGTGTGCACGTGTGCACGTGTGCATGCCTCTGTGTGTTTGTGTTATTGATAACTCTCCTCTCTCTGTCAGATACAACATGTTTATCATCATGTACCCTCTCGGAGTGGCCGGAGAACTCCTGACCATTTACGCTGCTTTGCCGTTCGTTCGCAAAACCGGAATGTTCTCCATGAGGCTCCCCAACAAGTATAACGTCTCCTTCGACTACTACTACTTCCTCATCATTGTCATGCTCTCCTATATCCCATGTAAGCAGCTACGTACAACCTGTTTGTATGTTCAGCCTATAGGCGGACGTTAATTACTCATGGGTGTTGATTGTCTCTTGTTTTGACAAGCGGAATTGTTCAGGAGTTCAGTAGTTAGTGATAGCTGTTGTTAATTTGGGATTGTTTTGGGTTGTTTGGGGTAGTTTGTGGTCTCTGTTTTGGTGTATTTTGGGGGATGGTTTGGGTTGTTTTGGATAATTAGTAGGACCTAGTGTTTGATGTAACTAAAATGATGGTTAAGTGCCTTTCTTTCTTTGAAGGCTTTTTGTTAAAATATTGATCTGGACTGGATAATTGTTTAGATTGGTGGGTAAAATCTCCCCCCCCTCCCCCCTCTCTCTCTCTCCTAGTGTTCCCACAGCTCTATTTCCACATGCTCCGTCAGAGGAGAAAGGTGCTTCTTGGGGAGATCATAGTGGAGAAGGACGAGTAGAGCCGCCTCACAGTCCAGCAACTGGTGTTCGTTTTGGGACAGCGAGTCAGCACAGCCCCCCTGCCGCCACATCAATTCACCTTTGGTACTGCACCCCCCCCCCCCCCCCCCCCCCCCCCCCCCAAGTTCTCCACACTGCAACGCAAGCAACCGGGAGAGTCAGACCACTACCAACATCACGGGATTAACCATGTAATAATCACAGAAACAGGATTATGACATTCACCAGAATAACCCAACTGGATTAAATAGTGCTGCAAGAGACATCATTACCCAACAGGAATAACCGTCATCAGAATCATCATGAACAGTCATCACCAAACAGTCATCAATCAACCAGAAGTATCATTACAGAACAGGAGTAGTCAGCGGAATACAATCTCTAGCATCTCTAGAATAATCATCATCATCACAAAACTGGAACATTGTGCTGTGCATGCATCCTTGTTTGTTCCACTGTGTCTTCACTGTCCCAGTGCAGATAGCTAGATCCCCAGAGAGAGAGAGAGCACTAACTCCACCAGCCAGCATGGCCACAACATGCTGCACTGAACCCCTGCAACCTGATAGCATACGGCACTGATTACCTGCTACAACTGCCACACAACAATATTGGAAGGCGCTTGCTGTGCATTGGGTCAACCACACAGCAGATACATACTGAACCCACCATCAGTGCAACATAGAGGGAGTTCGAGGGAATCAGGGAAGGGTGATATGAAAGGAGGGTGAAGGATAGATGATAGTTGTGTCCCCTGAACTGTTTTATTTCTTCTTTTAAATTGGAAATTAATTTTTTAAGTATTTTTATGCGTTTTCCACCACAGTGATTTTATACATAAATAGCATGTGGCAACAATGACTAGACAGAAGCTCAAAAAAGAGATGCGTAGACATATGACCTCGACAACAAACAGACATTTGGGCAATATGCTGCTTCCTTGGTGTATGTGTGTTGTACTTTATTTGTAAACAATGAAATGTGAAACGGCACCATTAGTAGGTTATTTTATGCACAGATTGGATCATTTGAAGAATGACTTAATTTATTCACATATCACATGGTTGGCAATTATGTGGTTTTTAACAGTAAAACACTTGTATTGAATGTTATTAGTACTTAAGGTGTAGCCGAGACTGCTCAAATTAGTTTTTTGCTTTGCTCAGCTCTAATGTTCTCTCCATGTTGCTTTCATGTTTACTAAGAGCTCAGTCAAATTTATTTACCAGTGTGCATCTTAAAGAAGGTTGAATGTTTGCAGAAAAGCTCTTGTTTTCGAAAGTTCAAGCCAACCTAGGAGACGCGCAGAGAAGATAAGAGATAATAAATTATTTCTGAGCACTCACAGTCTTCAGTTAGTCACTGTTTTGTTCTTTATGTTAAAAAATCTGTGTTCAGGATCCATTGTCCTTGTTGGTAATGTACTGGTAGTTAGTGTTAGATTACCTCTTGTCCTGGTTGGTAATGTACTGGTAGTTAGTGTTAGATTACCTCTACTAAAAGGTGCTACTGTGACAGATCGTTTCAATCTTCTGTGCAGCTGAAGGATAGATTGGAATTGGGGTCATCTAATTGTATGCACTGCGATACCTAGCCCTGTGCTACAGTGTGCCGAATGAATCAACATCATACTATGAATCAGGACTAGACAAGAAAGAAAGAAACAATAAAATTAAATGTCAAAAACCACTGGACTATTATTGTTTTTCTAGTCACAAATGTACGTGTGAAGATACAGTACAGTATCTTATAAGTACTGTAAGTTCAAAGACATGGATCCGAGGATGGAATCAACTTCCTGACACCAAAAAGGCAAATGAGACCTCTGGTAAGAGCTCCAGTAAGACAGACATGCTGCGTTCCAGGCTGAACGAGCCACATCATAACCACATCATATGATATAGCAATCTGATGCCCGACTGCTCAGTCGATGATGTGGCATGCACCTATTGGCTGATGTAACGCAACGCCTGCAATGTAGTCGTCCTGGAACACGACCAGTAGGGTTGTGACGGTCATGGAATTTTGGATAACCGTTAGAATTGTAACAACATTTGTATTAAAACATTTTAGACGCACATTTTCTCCTCTCCTTCGTTACTCCTAATCGCATGTGCTGCCATATAAATAGAATGAATAGAACGGGCGTCCTCATTCAAGTCAATGATGACATAATGGGTGGACTGGCGGCCATTGTGAGTGTACTCATAGGAGCAAAGCAGGAAGTAAAAGCAGGAAGTAAAAGCAGGATGTGCTGTGATTTGTTGATTTCAACTCAACTAACATTACAAAAAATACATTCCATCAGTTAACATCATTTGAATGAACATTTTACATTACCATTACAATTATTGCATCACAATACCAGGCAGCCATTGCGAGTGTACCCATGAGTTTACCAGTCAAATTGCCAGGGTTAAAGTTCCAAGCCCGTTCTATTCATTCTATTTCTATGTGTGCTGCTGCTGCATTGTGGGGGGCGTTGCGCGCAACCATTGGTTGATGCAATGCAACGTTTGCAATGTAGTCAGCCTGGAACGTGACCACAGACTCTTGCTACTTTGTGGAAAGTACACACTCATACAACAATACAGGCACCATCAGCAAACATACAGTACGGTAAGGAAATACTAACATGTACACTTGTGCAATCTTGACTATAACCAAGCAGACTTTCTGACTGTTATGTGTAAATACATCATTTATTCGAAATCATGGGTATAATAACATAGTTATATATAGCTGGACAGTTCTTGAGGTTTGAGAAAGGACTGGTGTTCCTCAAGGATAGCATATCAGCGACATTTCTTAGCTTTTTTGCGCATCATTTTGCATCTTACATAATTGTGGAACTAGACTTTCAACCGTGAAGGGCACTGTGGTGATTCCCATTGGCACTGCTAAAATAATGATCTACGTTGAAAAAAACTGTAATATGAAAATATACAGTACATTCAGATAATCAGATATAAATGGACTAAAGTCGTACAAAAAACAGCATTAAAAACAATGAGACCAATTTATATGAGTCAATTACGTTGGTCATAATTTTTTTAAACAATGGATCCTCTCAACTCTTGATTGTCATGTTGCTGTAATGCAAATGCTGGAAGTAATGGTCTGGATTCACTTTGGAGGATAGCTGAGTCTGGCCACTAGTGGGGGAAAGCTCAGTGAATGCAGCCTTAGTCCCGATTCAGGCATGTGCAGTTTGTCCCTCGTCTCTCTCCATACAGCATATCCATGCAAAAGTGTGTCAGATGGCTAGTTACACTCGTGGCTGGAACATAATGTTGCTCACCACACCGCCTCTGACTCAACCGTGCTTCTTTTTCTTCTCCCCCAGAGGGTGCTATAATCCTGGTGTTTTTGCTGCAGAAAATGATATTACTTATAGATTATACAAATATTTTTTCATGCAAACAATATAACTATGACTTAGACAGGAAAAAAACAATGCGGATAGAAAACTTCAGAGACAGACAAACAGACACACAACGAGACAGACAGACGGATACTCACAGCTCTCCATGGCCTTCTCACAGATGTAGCTGATGAGATCTTCACAGAAGAAATCATTCCACAGTCCCCCGTGGATGAGGCCTGCGCAGTCCTCTCCTCTCTCGTGCCCGTGGCTCCAGTTGTCTGGCTGGCCCGGCTTCCACTTCCTACAGTCACACAGCAGAGGGCACTCACACACTGAAATCCTACCTACCATAGACACACATTCAGTGAGAACTGAAACCTAACTTGAGAGACTTTCCCTTCAGTCACACATTGATGTCAATGCAAGGTCTCACATAGATCAGTCTTGTCACTGAGGTACTATACTCACGTGAAGGCAGGTTCGGTTCCATCCAGCCAGTGCCAAACATTCTCCTTCTCCCTGTCTGTCAGACCCATCCAGAAGTAGCCCTTTCCAGAGGTCTGCTTCTGCAGCCATTTCTGAGGGAAAACAAGAAAACATGATGTCAGTAATGTCACTCATTTTATGACTGTTCAAACAGATGTGCTTTCCATTACAAAAGGCTTATAAGAAGGACTATCACCTGTTCATCTATATCGTTAATGATCACCATTGACGCAGTCTGGGCATCACAGCTTTTCTTTGCATCGTCAAAGTTGTGCAGCTCCCTGGAGAAGTGGTAGCATTTGTCTCTGAAGCCAACCCACTCATGAGGACAACCTGAAGTGAATGGTTATATTGTTATACTATCACAATGAACTCATGTCCTGTCAACTCATAGATGGTGTTGACAGAGTGATACAGAGATATTAATGGTGTATAAAGAGTATTATGAGTGAGTCTTACCTGGGGCCCACACCGTAGGTGCGGGGGGGTCACTCTTCAGAGAGACAGGGACCAAAGGCACTGCTGCTGCTGCTGCAGGTCGGGCAGGGAGTCCTGGCAGTCCAGGTGGCCCTGGGGCCCCCACAGGCCCCACTGCTCCCCTGGGTCCCTGTGTCCCAGCCGGCCCGACCTGTCCTCGGTCTCCTGGCGGGCCCTGCGGCCCCTGAGGACCGGGCTGTCCGTCTCTCCCAGGGAGCCCAGCCGTGCCTGGCTCACCCTTCGCCCCTGGAGGTCCTGCCCTGCCCCCTGACCCTCTGGAACCCTTTGAACCTGGGTTGCCCCGTGAGCCTGGTTGACCTTTGGAACCTGGTAGTCCCGGTGGTCCTGGAGATCCCTTCTCTCCACGGAGCCCCTGCACGCCAGGCCCACCTTTATCCCCTTTCTCCCCCTTCTGACCAGCCTGACCGGCCGCTCCCTGGGGTCCTTTGTCACCCCGCGGGCCTCTGGGACCAGGTGGACCTGAAACAAGAAACAACATATTTTCTTTTAAAATGTGTCTGTTCAACTGTATACTGTTTACAACACACTTCAACGTGAACAAAATAAAAAGCTACTATTTAGTGTGTGCCCTCACCCTGTAGGATGGTGAAGTTGGTGATTAGCTGTGAGTGCTTGCTATCCACCAGTTTCATCTCCTCCATGACGATGGAGAGGCTGGTGAACTCCTTGTCCAGGCGGGCCGCCAGGTCGTCCTGCTGCGACCTTAGTGTGGTGGCATCCGACCTCACGTCCGAAACCGTAGAGTTCAGGTCAGCCAGGTAGTCGGAGTGGCGTCCCACCGTTTCAGCGCAGGTGCGCAGCTCGTTGAGGTTGAGGTTGATGGCGCCCAGGAGTTGGGTTGTAAAGCTAATGTTGCCCGTCACACGGTCGATGCTCCCCTCCGACTCGTCCAGGCGTATCTCCAGCTGGTCGAACTTGGAGGAGGTGAGGTTGTCATGGTCCCTCTGCTGGTCCATGATCTCCCTGAGGGTCTGGTCATGGTTCTCAGCCAGGCTGGAGGTGTTCTGGAGCTGTCCGGACAGCAAGGCGAGCTGAGAACCCACGTCCTCCAGGCTGTCGTTGTTGGCCTTGGCCAAGGTAGAGGCGTTGGAGGCCAGCGCCTGGAGGTTCTGCACCTTCTCCCGCAGCCAATCAGCGTCCGACTTCGTCTGCCTGGCCGTCTGCTCTAGGCTCTGGAAGTCATTGCGGATCTTCTGGATGGCCTGGCTGGTGTCGTCCACAGACCTTTGCAAAGCCAAGATCAGGCCCCTCTGTTGGGCCTGGGTGAGGTTGAGATTCCTGATGCTGAACAGGGCCTGGCTCTGCTGCCGAACCTGCTCCTGGAGCTCTGTCTGCAGCCGAGCCGTGTCCTCCTGAAGACCCTCCATGGTGCCGCCGTAGGCCCGCAAGGTACCGTTGACGGACCTCAGCGTGGCTGTGTTGGCATCCAGCAGACCCTGGATGGAGCCCTGGCTGCCTTGCATGTCCTGGCCAGCATCCTGCAGGCGACCCAGGGCTGCCCGGTTACTACTGCTCCTTTCAGCCACCTCGGACAGCTGCCTCTGCAGAGCCCGGATGATGTTCTTAAAGGCCTGGATTTCTGTGGTGGTGTTCTCTGACTTCTCGCCAGTCTGGTCATCTGGGAACATGGGATGAAATTGACTTGGACTTGGTAACTGAGAGTTGGATGAAGTTACCCTTCTCTCAATGATTAATGTTTCTAAAAACGGCTATTCTGATTTATTTGTTGTATTCAAAATAATGCTTAGACCCATAATACAAAGGATACTGTATGGTCAACTGGCTAACGTAGAGTATATTGCTGTGACCATGTGGTAGGTAGGGGTGAAACTCACCTAGCTTTTTCAAATCTGTTTCCATAGCAATGATCTTCCCGCCATAGCTCTCGATACCTTCGGACACATTGTCAACCTTTTGCACCACTGCAAAACAAACAAAACAACACAACACAGACACGATCAGGGTTAGGTCTTCAGCACAGTGGTTGGCTCCATACAATATTAACAGTCTGAGAAGGATGGGCAGAATAGCCTGCAACCATACAAATGGGATCAGAAAGGATACTTATGAAACCTCACTCAGACACAATATATAAGATGTCATATAAGATGTATATACAGTGAGGGAAAAAAGTATTTGATCCCCTGCTGATTTTGTACGTTTGCCCACTGACAAAGAAATGATCAGTCTATAATTTTAATGGTAGATTTATTTGAACAGTGAGAGACAGAATAACAACAAAAAAATCCAGAAAAACGCATGTCAAAAATGTTATAAATTGATTTGCATTTTAATGAGGGAAATAAGTATTTGACCCCTCTGCAAAACATGACTTAGTACTTGGTGGCAAAACCCTTGTTGGCAATCACAGAGGTCAGACGTTTCTTGTAGTTGGCCACCAGGTTTGCACACATCTCAGGAGCAGAGCATATGAGCGGAGTGGAGCGGTGAGAATCTCAGCTCCTCGCTCACGGAGCTGTTCACCCCTCCGCTCCCCCGCTCAAAGCCACATCAGGCCAGTCCGCTCATTATCGCTCAGCGCTCAACGCAGTTTGCATCGCGCTCCACTCAAATCGCCCCCCGCTCGCTCCAAAAAAGGAACAAAATCTGCATGTATTTCACTTTTAGCTTAAACCACAGCCTTACTTTATCTCCCCGAATTTGTTGCATACAGACTCATCTCGGATTATCCATTCTGTCTTGAAACGGGGACACTGACGCTAAAATGAGATGTTAATCAGTATAGTATATTCCATAGCGAATTGACACGTTGTTTGCCAATGTTTCTGCAAAAGCAGCGATGCCCATTGGAAGTGCAGAGTGAGTGTAATCGGTGAGCAGGGATTTGATTTCTGTGACAGCAGGGAGGATCATCCCCAGGTTCCCCAGCTCCTTCTGCATTTTGTCTGTGAGGTCTGCTAGTGGTGTCAGCACACTGACAAGGTGCGTCAGCTGCCGTACTTGATTCAGGGTGATGTTAGCAACATTAGACTTGAGTTTGTTTTGCCATAACGGGTCTTTTTGGAACAACCGGATGAACAACTGAATCATCAGCAGCTGGCTGCTCCATCGAATGGCGCAGGCATTTGTGGGGCGGACACCTAATTGGTCGGTTTCCTCTGTGCTCTTGCGTACACTTTTCACCAGGTGCCCGACTTTCACTAACAGCCTATTAACGTTGTTGTGCTCGTTAACAGCGTTTTTGATCGCCAGCTGAAGCATGTGAATGGGGCATCTCAGATGTAAATTTGACAAAGTAAAAGTACTGATTTATCATGGTTTCTTGGGGGGGGGGTGTAGCCCGGTTGAGCTGCGCTTGCAAAGTGTTGCATCCCTTCGCGTTCTCCTTTACTCAGCGGTTCATAGTCCATGAAAATCATTTCAAAAAATGCTACATCCAGCTCTCTTTTTCTCTCCCTTGTTATGGTTGGGCCTTTGCGTGCAGTGAATAAACTTTTGAATTCCTCAACCCTTTTCTCTTGTTGCTGCTGCTGCTCCTCTCGCTCTATAAAATACAAATTCATGGACGACACAAATTAAATTTAACAGATGGATTCTGGGTAAGGCTTGAGCATGCTTTAGACTCGTGGTGTGAGCGAGCGAAATTGGAGCGGGACATAGGGCGACGCTCCGTCCTTTTAAAAATGCCGCTCTGCGCTCTGTTCAAAATCCGTCCGCTCACGCTCCACGCTCGCTCCCGCTCCACTCCGCTCATATGCTCTGCTCAGGAGGGATATTGTCCCACTACTCTTTGCAGATCTTCTCCAAGTCATTAAGGTTTCGAGGCTGACATTTGGCAACTCGAACCTTCAGCTCCCTCCACAGATTTTCTATGGGATTAAGGTCTGGAGACTGGCTAGGCCACTCCAGGACCTTAATGTGCTTCTTCTTGAGCCACTCCTTTGTTGCCTTGGCCGTGTGTTTTGGGTCATTGTCATGCTGGAATACCCATCCACTACCCATTTTCAATGCCCTGGCTGAGGGAAGGAGGTTCTCACCCAAGATTTGACGGTACATGGCCCCGTCCATCGTCCCTTTGATGTGGTGAAGTTGTCCTGTCCCCTTAGCAGAAAAACACCCCCAAAGCATAATGTTTCCACCTCCATGTTTGACGGTGGGGATGGTGTTCTTGTGGTCATAGGCAGCATTCCTCCTCCTCCAAACACGGCGAGTTGAGTTGATGTCAAAGAGCTCAATTTTGGTCTCATCTGACCACAACACTTTCACCCAGTTCTCCTCTGAATCATTCAGATGTTCATTGGCAAACTTCAGACGTCCCTGTATGTGTGCTTTCTTGAGCAGCGGGACCTTGTGTGCGCTGCAGGATTTCAGTCCTTCACGGCGTAGTGTATTACCAATTGTTTTCTTGGTGACTATGGTCTCAGCTGCCTTGAGATCATTGACAAGATCCTCCCGTGTAGTTCTGGGCTGATTCCTCACCGTTCTCATGATCATTGCAACTCCACGAGGTGAGATGTTGCATGGAGCTCCAGGCCGAGGGAGACAGTTATTTTGTGTTTCTTCCATTTGCGAATTATCGCACCAACTGTTGTCACCTTCTCACCAAGCTGCTTGGCGATGGTCTTGTAGCCCATTCCAGCCTTGTGTAGGTCTACAATCTTGTCCCTGTCAAATACCTATTTCCCTCTTTAAAATGCAAATCAATTTATAACATTTTTGACATGTATTTTTCTGGATGTTTTTGTTGTTATTCTGTCTCTCACTGTTCAAATAAACCTACCATTAAAATTATAGACTGATAATTTCTTTGTCAGTGGGCAAACGTACAAAATCAGCAGGGGATCAAATACTTTTTTCCCTCACTGTATATACAGTATATCTGGTGTGTATGTAATAATGGGCGTCTCAGCAATCACAAGCTCTGAGATTAGGAAATGGTAATGTAATACACAATAATGTCTCAATGACTGGGTGTGTCCATGAAGACTGAGCATGAGACACTGAAGACACTGGAAGATGAGTGCAGAGGGGGTGGGGTGGTCAGAGGGAGTAGGAATGGTACAGAGACAGGGGGACCCTGGGGGACAGGAAGCGACCAAAGGGGGGGTCCTCAGTAAACAGGGGGTTCAAAGGGTACCCTAAGGAGATAGACGCTGTGTCAGGCAGGGTCTTTACGCCCCCACAGGCGACAGGACCCTTCATTTCCTCTGGAATGTGTCTGGGAATCATCCCACCACCACCACCACCACAGGCTATGGAGGCATCTCTAACCATCTAATTGGAGACCACAGCGGTTCCAACCAGTGGTGAAAACTGCACACCATGATATTTCTGTTATTTCCATCCTCCACAGGTAAAGACCAACAAACCCATCAAGCTCAAAGACCTCACCAAGCTCAACCTTTAATGGGTATCATCATCTATTTTATTCTAGGGCCAAATCATCATAAAGACACAGGATGAGAAGATCTAACGGCACCTCATTCCCTCCCTCTGACTGAGAGCATGGGAGGACATGGATAGATCCCACTGTTATGACTGGGTGTATTTCCCTGGGAAAGCTGTATGTGCTTATGATCTCCGTAGCTTTCATTGTGTAATGTGTAGTTGCAGTGTACTTTACATCTACTGAATGCCAGTCAAAGACAGTGAGGGATGAGGAAGCTTACCAGTGGCGACACGTCATTCAGGGCAGAGCCCCACCTCTTTTGAGCCCCACCTGTTTTGCATGTTATTTTGGCATTAATACGTGTCACATATGAGTTTGCAAACAATGTAAAAAAAACAACAACATTGAGTTAATAAAGCTGCATACAAACATGGTCTCTTTTTTGCTTTCTTGAGTAAGGCAGCTCCAAAATGCAGGTGTTTCAGCCTAGCTCAGTGCTTTCTGTGGTGGTGGGGCAGCCAGAGGAAAATACGGAGCGTAGGGGTTGGTAATGTTCTCTGGTTGCGCCATGATTGGCTCAGTGTTCTGTCACTCATGGGGACACTACGTCACCGCAAAATCTACTGGTAGAGCTCGAAAATTCAACCCCCTTGGGTGCTGCCATAGACTTACATAAGAAGTGCCCATCCAAGAAGGCTCAAGTTCATTGGCCACAGATAAAATGACGTCAAATCACGTTATATCTACCGTAGCTTTGATTGGACTGATCATGTTAACATCATACTTTCAAAACCTTAGCTAGCATGCTAGAAAAGCAGTCATCATCATGCATAAAGTCAGCAATCTACTGGCAAATCCTTTTCAATCCTTGTCATATGAAAATAAATTATAAAGATAAAACGTATCGGTGTTGTGTAATAAACATTACACAACAAGTTGGAAATCGCAAATTCAACAATGAGTGATAAGGCGTCACTGCAGCCCCGGGTTCGATCCCAAGCTGTGTTAGAGCCGGCTGTGACCGGGAGACCCATGAGGCGGTGCACAATTGGCCCAGCGTCGTCCGGGTTAGTGGAGGGTTTGGCCAGCCGGGATGTCCTTGTCTCATCGTGCTCTAGCGACTCCTTGTGGCGGGCCGGGCGCCTGCAAGCTGACTTCGGTCGTCAGTTCGAAAGTGTTTCCTGCGACTGGCTTCCGGGTTAAGCGAGCAGTGTGTCAAGAAGAAGTGCGGCTTGCTTCGCCGAGTCCGTAGGGGAGTTGCAACGATGAGACAAGATTGTAACTACCAATTCGATCTCACAAAAAAGGGGGTAACGCTATCGGCCAGAAAAATTTGAATACATTGGCCATGCTGTCAATCCAGAATGACTTCTACCGCGTTCAAAACAACTGGAAACTCGGAACTGGGAAATCTCAGACTTCAGTGAGTTCAAGACAACTGGGAACTCGGATAAAACTAGCTCTGCCACGCCAACTTCCTGTTCAAGTGAACACAGCACAACAATGTGAGTCTAAAAATGTATCGTATGCTGCTGCATAAATGATGTAATATGCCAGGGAGATATGTATACTTGTAGCCAAGAAAGTAATACTAAGTGTATGTTGTGTAGTAAGCTGTTAGTAGCCCATGTGCCTAATTTGGTCCCTTTTCCCCTTTTAATTTCGCCTACTGTTCTGACTTGGTGTACAGGGTGAATACTGTAAGAACGGCCCATGTTCTGAATTCTGTCGCTGTACATTTCAAAAGTGCTGAACAAATAGTTATATTGACTACGTCCGTCATAGCTCGCTCATTAATGTCTTAATCGAAATTACGGATTGCCTCTTATCCGCTCATCGTCCCCTTATGCCATAGTTTGTACATCTCAATTGTCAGTAGAAACCACATTTGTTTAAGCAAGTCAGCCATATCAGCTATGTTTTTTTAGGCAGTAAATTAGGCTGAATGAACTGTTTCGCTGCAAGACAAGGCTCTGCTGACAGCCAGGTGTAACAGCGTTAAGTTGTTAGGACTGCTGTTGGGACTCTGCTGTTGGGACAGCTTTATGTAGGCCCTAACAGTTTGTGGGCACTGTTTGTCACCATTATAGTCCAATTAATGTATTGTTTAGTGTTGTGTTGTGTTGTGTAGTGGCTTTGCTGGCATGCATATAAAAACAATTGGGGGGAGTTTGCCCAACCAAGATTTACGTGCTAAAATCGCCACTGAAGTTTACATGTTTCTATGCCACAGTTGTAATAAAGGAAAAATAAATACGCTAAAACATTTAAAGTTAAACGTTGTGAAAGCCACAACAATGTAGATGAGGGCTCCGTAATTAAGGAAGTATAGTGATGATTGAACATCTAACTGACAACGAAAGGCAACTTCGACTGGAAATGAGAGACAATGAGTCATTCTTCAAACCGCCAAGGATGAGTGTACTTTTCTCATTGTCAACAAACAATAGAAAAAAAACGCCTCCCGAAAATAGACACCCAGAAGTTCATGCAAGCTTTTAATGACTTGCATGTGTTCCATCTGTAATTATGGTCAACAAAAATGAGAGTAGACTGAATCGCTCGATTTGTGCCATATTCGCTTGCATAGCAGGGAATTCATCCCAAAAGTAGCCTAATATGTACATTTAGATGGGATTTGTTTCAGGTGAGTGTCCGGTGTTAGAGGCACTCCTATTGTACCTGATAGCGTTGACTGGGGTCCATATTCCCAAAGCGTCTCAGAAAAGGAGTGCTGATCTTGTTCATTATGATTGAAGGCTAAACTGATCCTAGATCAGCACTCCTACTCTGAGATGTTCTGAGATGTTTTGTGAATATGGGCCTGTCATAGACGTGTGCAGTAGTGTGTGTGGAACGCAGAAATAAATACTTCCACATGTTTGAGAAACCGTTTACTACATACACTCACTGAACGTCTAATTCTCCCAGCATCCCTCTCTTTCCAATGCAGGAAACAAGGAATCAAAACAACATTCCCAACCATTCCCAGAAATGTCTCCAGACTTGAAACAGAGAAAATATAATTACGATGGAAAATGTCTTTGTACAGAGTAGACTTCCTAATGTTTTGGGAAACTCAAGTCGCCTGTATACAGAAAACAAATGCCACTAGGGATGTACAGTAGCCTTTTCAGCATGGTGGACAGATGTACAGTTGAAGTCGGAAGTTTACATACACCTTAGCCAAATACATTTAAACTCAGTTTTTCACAATTCCTGACATTTAATCCTAGTAAAAATTCCCTGTTTTAGGTCAGTTAGGATCACCACTTTATTTTAAGAATGTGAAATGTCAGAATAATAGTAGAGAGAATGATTTATTTCAGCTTTTATTTCTTTCATCACATTCCCAGTGGGTCAGATGTTTACATACACTCAATTAGTATTTGGTAGCATTGCCTTTAAATTGTTTAACTTGGGTCAAACGTTTCGGGTAGCCTTCCACAAGCTTCCCACAATAAGTTGGGTGAATGTTGGCCCATTCCTCCTGACAGAGTGTCACGTTCGTCGTAAGAGACGGACCAAGGCGCAGCGTGATAGGCGTACATCTTTTAATGAGTACTTATACACTACAACAAAACAACAAAACGATACGTGAAGTCCTAAGGTTAACAAAACACAAACCTCTCCGGAACAAGATCCCACAAATAACAAGTGCAAAACAGGCTGCCTAAGTATGGTTCCCAATCAGAGACAACAAGCAACAGCTGCCTCTGATAGGGAACCACCCCGGCCAACATAGAAACACATGAACTAGAACTAAACATAGAAAATACAACATAGACAATCCACACCCTGGCTCAACATATAAGAGTCCCCAGAGCCAGGGCGTGACACAGAGCTGGTGTAACTGAGTCAGGTTTGTAGGCCTCCTTCTCGCACACGCTTTTTCAGTTCTGCCCACAAATGTTCTATAGGATTGAGGTCAGGGTTTTGTGATGGCCACTCCAATACCTCGACTTTGTTGTCCTTAAGCCATTTTGCCACAACTTAGGAAGTATGCTTGGGGTCATTGTCCATTTGGAAGACCCATTTGCGATCAAGCTTTAACTTCCTGACTGATGTCTTGAGATGTTGCTTCAATATATCCACATACTTTTCCTTCCTCATACTTATTTCCCTCATTAAAATGCAAATCAGTTTATAACATTTTTGACATGCGTTTTTCTGGATTTTTTTGTTGTTATTCTGTCTCTCACTGTTCAAATAAACCTACCATTAAAATTATAGACTGATCATGTCTTTGTCAGTGGGCAAACGTACAAAATCAGCAGGGGATCAAATACATTTTTCCCTCACTGTAGATGGCTATACGCCCCCAAAAACTCTCAAAATAAAACAAGCTACAATGATAGTCTTGATAAAACCATATGAACTTTAAAACGCCCTGTCGATTGAAAGAGTAGTACTAGCTCAGAGTGGATAGGTCAGTCTGAAATGAAATGTTCCACTGCAACCTAAATGAGACACATTTCCAGACACCACAAACTACTGTACCACACAGAGCACAAAAGACACATTCAGCTCAAGTCTGCAGACCAAACCGTACACCTACTGTACATTGTTTCTCTCTATAACACCTATATACACACACACATATGCACAGTCACACATGTATGCACACACACACACACCAAGTTTTACTGTTGTTTGTTTGGACTTGTTTCCATGTCTGGGGACTACCCATGTTTTTAATTGCACTCTTCCTCTCTGTTAAACTTTAATCACTTCGGTGTGATGCTCTTTGTACTAATGTATTATTTCCTCTCTGTCTAGGTGTTGGATTCAAAAAGATGCTAATGCAGCCTGCTGTGGATAAAAAAACAACTTTGGGAAACTCTCTTCCAAGTTATGAAAGAATTAACATCCTAAATGACCCACATACGCTGCTAGCCTGCTACTCTGGAATGACAGTGATACTTTACATGGTTTAGCTGAATGCTGGAGAATCACAGGGAGAGTACACACAAACACAGATGGACGCTTTTCATGGTTGGGATCCATTTTATCCTGCTCAATTATATAAATAAATACTATGTGGATACACGCACACACATGCACACACACACACACACACTCACACACACATGCACACACACACACACGCAAGCACACACACACACTGTATAATATCTGGCCCAGAGCTATGCCCTAGGCCAGCTGTGCTGCAGCTGTGGTTTCTGGGTGTCATCCCTTCCTCACACACAATACACACAACACATGTAAGCACACGACAAACACACACACATCCTGACACCTCTGCTTATTTTTGCTAAAGCTCTGACTATAGCCCAGAATATAGTAACAGATCCCATGTACACAGCTGGAGGAGAGGTAGAGAGGGGGAGAGAAAGAAAAATAAATGAATGCAGCATGAGTGCTGAGTGAGGCCAAAGAGGGGGTGAGACTCCCTCTACACACTCTTGTTCTCTTCTCTGATTCCTCCCTTATATAGCCTGGGTCGCATCTCAAATGACACCCTAGTCCCTATACAGTGCACTACTTTTGACCAGCGCCCCCATAGGGGAGCTGGAGAAGAGGTTTTCACAGCCCATGTCACGGAGGTTCTATACTGTATCTCAGTGGAGATCACATACGCACCATAAAGAGATCAGGTGATGAAGCGAGGACATTGTTATGGGGGTGAGAGTAGAGAGCACAGGGTCAGCTCGCTGTTAAGATATCTGGCCACACTTCATCATACACTGTATCCTACAATACAGAATACAGATGTGAATGGCGCCAGAGGAGATGGCTACCGTTCTACGGGCTCCTAAACAATTGTGCAATTGTGTGTGTTTTTTCGCATTATTTCTCACTTATTCTGTACAGAATGTTTATGCCACCGTCTCTTATGACCAAAAAGAGCTTATGGATATCAGGACAGTGATTACTCACCTCGTACTGGACGAAGATTTATTCTTTAATGAGTTGGACGCTAAGGATTTACTTCAGAAACCCGACAAGGCCCAAATCCCCGTCATTCGCATGAAGAAGAGACTGAGATATCGGGGACGTAGGTCGGGGTGCCTTGTAAGGATCCGACGGCGAGTGGGCAATCTGCCTCTACCATCAGTCCTATTAGCCAACGTACAATCATTGGATAATAAAATGGATGAGCTCCGATCAAGAATATCCTACCAATGAGACATTAAAAACGGTAATATCTTATGTTTTAACCGAGTCGTGGCTGTACGACGACATGGATAACATAGAGCAGGCAGGGTTTTCGGTGCATCGGCAAGATAGAACAGCTGCCTCCGGTAAGACAAGGGGTGATGGTCTGTGTATATTTGTAAATAACAGCTGGTGCACAAAATCTAATATTAAGGAAGTCTCAAGGTTTTGCTCGCCTGAGGTAGAGTATCTCATGAAAGCTGCAGACCACACTATTTACCAAGAGAGTTTTCATCTATATTTTTCGTAGCTGTCTATTTACCACCACAAACCGATGCTGGCACTAAGACCGCACTCAATGAGCTGCATAAGGCCATAAGCAAACAGGAAAACACTCATCCAGAGGCGGCGCTCCTAGTGGCCGGGGACTTTAATGCAGGGAAACTTAAATCCGTATTACCTCATTTCTACCAGCATGTTAAATGTGCAACCAGAGGGAAAACAACTCTAGAACACCTTTACTCCACACACAGAGACGCGTACAAAGCTCTCCCTCACCCTCCATTTGGCAAATCTGACCATAATTCTATCCTTCTGATTCCTGCTTACAAGCAAAAACTAATTCAGGAAGTACCAGTGACTTGCTCAATACAGAAGTGGTCAGATGACGCAGATGCTAAGCTACAGGACTGTTTTGCTAGCACAGACTGGAATATGTTCCGGGATTCTTCCGATGGCATTGAGGAGTACACCACAACAGTCACTGGCTTCATCAATAAGTGCATCGATGACGTCATCCCCACAGTGACCGTACGTACATACCCTAACCAGAAGCCATGGATTACAGGCAACATCTGCACTGAGCTAAAGGGTAGAGCTGTCACTTTCAAGGAGTGGGACTCTAACCCGGACGCTTATAAGAAATCCCGCTATGCCCTCCGATGAACCATCAAACAATACAGGACTAAGATTTAAACGTTTGTCGGATGTGGCAGGGCTTGCAAACTATTACGGACTACAAAGGGAAGCACAGCTGCGAGCTACCCAGTGACACAAGCCTACCAGACGAGCTAAATTACTTCTATGCTCGCATCGAGGCAAGCAACACTGAAGCATGCATGAGAGCATCAGCTGTTCCAGACGACTGTGTGATCACGCTTTCCGTAGCCGATGTGAGTAAGACCTTAAAACAGGTCAACATTCACAAGGCCGCAGGGCCAGACGGATTACCAGGACGTGTACTCCGAGCATGCGCTGACCAACTGGCAAGTGTCTTCACTGACATTTTCAACCTGTCCCTGACTGAGTCTGTAATACACACATGTTTCAAGCAGACGACCATAGTCCCTGTGCCCAAGAACACTAAGGTAACCTGCCTAAATGACTACCGACCCGTAGCACTCACGTCTGTAGCCATGAAGTGTTTTGAAAGGCTGGTCATGGCTCACATCAACATCATTATCCCAGAAACCCTAGACCCACTCCAATTTGCATACCGCCCCAACAGATCCACAGATGATGCAATCTCTATTGCACTCCACACTGCCCTTTCCCGCCTGGACAAAAGGAACACATACGTGAGAATGCTATTCATTGACTACAGCTCAGCATTCAACACCATAGTGCTC